CAGTTCGAGATTCAGGAGGGATCAATGATTGGTTTTCGTTGAATGGCACAGTTTGTCATTGTCTGTGTGTGTGCGTGAGAGCGTGTGTGCAAGAGAGAGTGTGTGTGTGTGTCTGTCTGTGTGTGTGTGTCTTTGTGTGAATTTGAGTGTGAGCGCACACGTGTGTGTGTATGTGTGTGTGAGCGTGTGTGAGTATATGTGTGAGAGTGTGAGAGTGTGTGACTATGATAAGCAGATTAAGCTGCTAACAATCCAATGCCCACCCATCAGTTGGAAGACGTTGGCCCAGGTCTCGTGTAAGTGAGTGAACGTCACTTTTTGGCACCAAGGGGTACAGTGATGACACTGAGATGGGGCAACAGTGTGATGGTGGTGAATGCAGAACAATTGTTCCCGATCCCTCTAACCTCTTCCATATACAAAGTTTTTAAACGTTGTAATTGTACCAGCCTCCAGCACTTCCTCTGGCAGCTCTGACTGACGCTCCTCACACTCTGTGGGTTTGGAGAGTTCATTTAACTCCACTCGGAAGGTATCAGAGCCCATTCCCCAATCCCAGAAGCTCGTCCTGGACTGAATCCCATCATTTTTTGGCACGATTGCCAACATCCCGAGTTTCGTAGGGTTCCCCTGGGGAGCGGCATGGGAGGGACGGTGGGGTGGAGGAACCCAACAACCAGCTGGTGGAAGGGGGTTCAGTTTAGGGTCAAGGGCTGTAGGTTCAGGGGGAAAGAGCCTTTCAGGGTGAGGGCTGCTGGAAATCCCCTGCCTGAGAGGGCAATAGAGGCAAAAACCCCGAAGATATTGAAGAGGATTTAGGTGAAGGCTTGAGAGAGCAAGAGAGTGCGAGGGGGCAAGCCAAGGGCTGGCAAATGGGACTAGAATCAACGGACGTTTGACAACCAGTACAGATAGGAGGAAGTGGGGTGTGAATGGACTCTTGCTCAAAGTCACCGGGAGCAGGAGGAAATTGAAATCGACAAGCTTCAGTTTCAAGCGCTCAGAGAGCGAGACAAGAGAAGAAACAAGACTTTCGGTGCCCACTTTGGACCGTGTCGTGCTGCACAGAAACCTTTCTCGGCCTCTCAACTAGGAAATTACTGCGTAACCTGAGAAAGGCTGTCGATACCTCAGGGATGGAGGAAGGCTCCTTCATTTAATCGTGTCGACGCTCCGAGACTGAGCAGTTTGCATCTCCTTCCCGAGCGGTTTCGTTTTAATAGACTCGACCCCAAGTTAATTATTGAAGATGCGAACCCTCGCCGACTGAGTAAGCAGTTTGCAGGAGCTGAGTACTTGAATCGATAATGGGATCAGTTACCGGCCTTCTGCCTGTGGTGGTGTGATCAGTCCTGATTTAGTTACATGGGGTGGTTAGTTCAATCCTAGCTCCCCCCCAATCTTTTTCACAGCAGACTCATTTTGCAGCATGCTTAAAAAGGGAGGGACGTGGGTTAGGTGTTTCCCTGGTTGTGTTGGGGGGGCCTAGAAAGTCTAGGAATAAGGGCCAGTCTGCAGTTTAAAAATAAAGGACTGAGATGAGCAGTTTTACATTCAAGAGTACAGGACGGAAACTGATCCTTAGGTCCATGAGATATCCTGAATTAATCCAGTCCCATTTGGCCCCAATCCCTTTAAACTCTTCCATACACGCAATTTTTAAAAGTTGCAATTGTACCACTTCCTCTGGCAGCTCGTTCCATAAGATGCCCCTCAGGTCCCTTTCCCCTTCTCACCTTAAATCCTCCAGTTTTGGACTCCCCTACCCTGGGAATTAAAGACCTTGGCTATTCACCCTATCCATGCCCTTCATGATTTTATAAACCTCTATAAGGTCACCCCCTCAGCCCCCGACGTTCCAGGGAAAATAGCCCCAGTCTATTCAGTCTCTCCCTCATAGCTCAAACCCTCCTACCTTGGCAACATCCTTGTAAATCCTTTCTACACCCTTTTAAATTTTGTAACATCCTTCCTATAGCAGGAAGATCAGAATTGAATGCAATATTCCAAAAGTGGCCTCACCAATGTCCTGTTCTCACTCTCAACAACTGTGAGTACATTTCAGGCAGAGATTGGTAGCTTTCTGAGGATGGCTGATATGCAAGGTTGTGGGGTTGGAATGTGAGTAAAATGCAATGAAGTTTGCAGTCAGGCACAATTGTACTGAATGCAGGGCAGGCCCCAATGGGCTGAGTGGCCTCCTCCAGCTTCCATGTCCTTCATATTCCTTGAATTGCCCTGTCAGACAGGGAGCTTCCGCTCCAAACTGCCATAGGGGGAGATGCCGCTGCAGCTGTAATATATCTGAGCTGCTAACCCAGGGGACCTGGGCACGCACTCTCTCACACACACACCCTCATACAAACACACACACACACAAACAACACACACAACACAACACACACACACACACAAACAACACACACAACACAACACACACAAAACACACACACCCCACTCTAGCATTGTATTACTCCTAGAAACCCATCAGTTTCACCCAAGCCATGTCTCTTAACTGGCCTCTGAAATGGCCCTAGTGAGTCAAGTTCAAGGACAGGGTTGGAGAGCTGGTCAACAAATGCCAACCTTCCCAGCAACATTGACTGTGCTTTATTAGATGGGAGATTCCCATCGCGCCCCGGTAATGATCTCCTACAACCTCTTCCGTCAGGCAAAAGATACAGAAGCCTGAGCACACACACCAGCAGGTTCAGGAACAGCTTCTTCCCTGCCGTTATTAAACTGATGAATGGACACTAGCCTCAAATAATGTATGTCTCTAAGTCTGTTTGATCTGAACATCCTTTGCTTGCTGTGATCCGCCTGTACCGCTCATAAACAGAGCTTTTCACTGTATTTCCGTACACGTGACAATAAAATCAATTAAACAATTAAGGGACAGGATGCTCTGTATTTGATATGTGTGACCCTGCCTCAGAACAGGGGGTGGCACGCTTTGAAGAAATTGACAAAACTGGTCATATCCAGATCAGTTACCCAAGAGGGAAACTGACAAAGGCTGGTCATTCCCAGGATCAGTCATAGAGTCACACAGCATGGGAACAGACCCTTCGGCCCAACCAATCCGTGCCGACCATAATCCCAAACTAAACTAGTCCCACCTGCCTGCTCCTGGCCCGTATCCCTCCAAACCTTTCCTATTCATGTACTTATCCAAATGTCTCTTAAACGTTGTAACTGTACCCACATTCACCGCTTCCTCTGGACGTTTACTCCACACACGAACTACAGTCTGTGTAAAAAAGTTGCCCCTCATGTCTTTTTACCTCCTCTCACCTTAAAAATGTGTCCCCTAACCCCCACCCTAGAGAAAAGACCCCTGCCATTCACCTTATCTATACCCTTCATGATGTTATAAACCTCTACAAGGTCACCCCTTAATCTCCTACGCTTCAGTTAAAAAAAGTCCCAGCACATCCAGCCTCTCCCCACAACTCAAACCCTCCAGTCCCAGCAACATCCTGGTAATTCTCTTCTGAACCATCTCCAGTTTAATAATATCCTTCCGATAACAGGGCGACCAGAACTGGACACAGTGCTCCAGAAGGGGCCTCACCAATCTCCTGTACAACCTCAACATGACGTCCCAACTCCTACATCAAAGGTCTGAGCAATGAAGGCAAGCGTGCTAAACACCTTCTTAAAAACCCTGAATAGGAAAGGTTTGGAGGGATATGGGCCAGGGGCAGGCAGGTGGAACTAGTTTAGTTTGGGATTATGGTTAGCATGGACTGGTTGGACCGAAGGGTCTGTTTCCATGCTGTATGACTCTGTAAGGTCACCCCACAGCCTCCGACATTCTAGGGAAAATAGCCCCAGCCTATTCAGCCTCTCCCTATAGCTCAAGCCCTCCAACCCTGGCAACATCCTTATAAATCTTTTCTGAACCCTTTCAAGTTTCACAACATCCTTCCAATAGCAGGGAGGCCAGAATTGAATGCAGTATTCCAAAAGTGACCTGACCAACGTCCTGTACAGCTACAACATGACCTCCCAACTCCTGTACTCAAAGCAGTCGCTCAGACGATGGGTGAGCTGCGATATATATATTCTGATATATTCTGAAGAAGGGTCTAGGCCCGAAACGTCAGCCTTCCTGCTCCTACGATGCTGCTTGGCCTGATGTGTTCATCCAGCTCTGCACCTTGTTGTCTGCGATATATAAAGATGGCTCAGGGTGAAGTGGCGGCATTTGAACTGTTAGTCTTCAGCCAGCAGGTCCTAGGTTCCAATCCGCCCCTGATCCTGACATACTGACAGTACAGAGCTCTGAGCGTACAGGATCACCAAGCACATTGCTAGTTTGTACCCTTGACTATTGGGGTCTGCACAAAGGAGCGGGATCTCTCCTGGAGGCTGACAGCACAGTCCTTCGGCCCCTCGAGTCTCTTCTGGTCTGTAACAAACCACCTCGCTATTCCAATCCCCGTCTCCCAGCACTTGGCCCACAGCCTTGGCAGGGCGAGTGCCCGTCTAAATCCTTCTTCAATGGGATGGGAGTGCCTGTCTCTCCCACCCTTACAGGCAGTGAGTTCCAGATTCCCCACCAGCCTCTGGGTGAAAACATTTTTCCTCACGTCCCCTTCTAAACCTCCTGCCTCCCCTTAAATCTATGCCCCCCCACCCCTCCATGGGACTTGATGACCCCCCCACCAAGGGGAAAAGTTCTTTCCTGTCTATCTACATCCCTCATCATTTTATACTTCTCAATCCCCCTCCCCAACATTTACCCATCAAGTCTGCACCATCTAGCTGTCCCCACTTGGCATCTGCCTGTGGGATACTGTTGTGCACATCCCCAAGTCTCTCTACCTACCCCCCCATGCCACTTTGCCAGCCCAAAGAGCTGACGAACAGGAGGGCAAATGCTCCCTCCGTGAAGGGAGAGGTGAGGCCGCAGGCTCATGGGGTTAGCACAGCCGATGGGCTGATGGGGCCAAAGCCTTGCTCTGTTGCCTTAGAGACGGAACGGTACCGGCATGTGGCTCCGGGCTCTGGGAGTGAAGGGCCGCCATCTGCTGGTGGGAGGCCTTATTGCAGCCTGTTCCGGGATCTCGGAGGGAGTCCGGCCTAACTTGGCACTGGTGCCCATCTCTTCCTGCCTGCTCCCTTGCTGGCAAGTGGGAGCAGCACTAGTCCAGGGTGCTATTCAATACGATTATGGCTGATCATCCAACTCAGTCCCCTGTCCCCACTTCCACCCTTCCATCCCTTTATCCCACATACCTAGAGCCCCAACTCCTTCTTGGAAACATTCAACGCTCCAATGTCCCTCAGACGTTTACTCGGGACAGTTTTGCATCTCCGCACTCCCCCTCCCCCACCCCATCCCCAAATCCTCCTACACCTCGTCGCCATGTTGTCTCTGGTGGGCACCATCTGAAACAACAGGAGAGCTGACAATACCCAGCCCCTCCCTTACCTCTGACGCCTCCATTGGCACTGCCCGCCACAGGAGGGGAAACGACTGCCAGTGGGCCGTTGCCAACTTCTGGAGCTAGCAAAGTAAGCCTCAGGCCTGGAGGCCCGTTTCTTACAGATTGGCTCCTTCAACCCCTGACCCCAGCCGGCTGCCCAGAGCTCAGCCTGAGTGCTGACTCCAGAGTTGGCTGTCATCGGGAAGGGGCCCAAACTCTGGAATTCCCTCCCGCTCTCCCTCCCCTCCAGGCCCTCCCTTTCCCCACTTGCTTCTTGAAAACTAACCTCTTGGGCTAGGCTATGGTCAACTGACATTACTCACACCACCATTTTGAATATCCCACTGGCCCCCACCCATTCCCACCAGGTCAATGGTCCCTCCCCAGGAGACAGTAAGAACTGCCGATGCTGGAGTCAGAGATAACACAGTGTGGAGCTGGAGGAACACAGCAGGCCAGGCAGCATCAGAGGAGCAGGAAAGCTGACGTT